TGTCTGTGTGTCTGTCTGTGTGTCTGTGTGTCTGTCTGTGTGTCTGTCTGTGTGTCTGTCTTTCTTTCAATAAAACAGCCCTAACAAGAAGCCCCGCTGATTGACAGCTCACGCTGGCCAATGAGATGCCGTTTCAACTGTAAACACAACAGACTGAACCAATGAGGATCGAGCTGTTGTGGCACAGCGAATGCTATTGGCCGGATTGAACAAGAGGCGCTGACGTGCTCAATGCGCGGGTCTGTCAAAACCCGATCAGCCACATTAATGTTTCCTGGATGAAGACTCGCCTCCTGCACGAAACTCTTCTTTGAGCTTGATATTATCAACCGGGAGACATTTGTCAATAGCAAGAAGCCGGTGTGTTTTATCTGGCGCTTTCGCTCCGTTAACGGAAACTCCAGCATTACGTGACAGTCCGTAAATTGGATTAGCGCTAAGTAAAGCCACCGGTGAATGATACTTTAGCACAGTTGCTAGCTTAGCTACAGGAGCTGTCGGGAGTGGAGAACATACATATGGACTCTTCTGGTTCCAGACACGAGTGGTAACGTTACAGTGAATCCTCTGTGTGTGTGTGTGCGGCTGTGTGCTAACGTTACAGACATTAGCCTGCGAGCAGGTTGGCAACATGGACAGTTACAGTCAGAGGTTTGACAGTAAATCTCAGAAGAAGAAGGGCTCATCCCACCACGGCACCTCATGCTACGATGAAGGAGACCGCAAACCAAAGTTTGTAAGTATGAAATAAAAACCTACTGTTCCATTACAGCTGCCTGCTAGATGACTGATGCAAAGACAGGCATATACATACTTTATCTATTGATCCCGAGGGACACGTAGGCGTCCAGTAGAGCACAGAACAGTCACATATAAGAGCACAAGAATATAGATAAATAGGTTAAATAAGAATAAGTTCACTGCAGTGAGATGAAAGTCTAACCACCAGAACTACTACAAAGCTATTACTGTAAAGAAGTATGTGCAAATCTATACACACACACACACACACACACACACATACAGGAATGTTCAAAACCCACGAGGAAAGTATGGCTGCAAGAATCTTGACTTTTTCTATACATGTCTTTTGTGATGTTGGATTATTTTCCTTTATTTTAATTGCTTACATTATATCTTCACCATGCCTTCAAACTATAGCAGTGGACCAGTGGTGTTTATGTTTCTGCCTGTGTAACATATTTGACATATGTTGCAGAGAGGATGCCTCTGTAGAATGATCCTGTCAGTTGAGAAAGCTCATCTGCGATAAAATCTTTTGTCGTGTCAGTTTTCTTTTAGAGCAGCGACCTTGAATGTTTGTCGACTTTGCTTTGCATGTGGGAAATCGGAAGGTTAAAATTAGCACAGGGTTTAGCCCTTACACTAATCCATGTGCTTCCTACTACTACAAACGAAGACCAGTCTGTGTTGACATTTGTCTGCTGTGTTCTTCTGGGAGGTTTAGAGAGCTGATACTACTGGAACAAAACTAGACCATGGATAGAGCTCTCATGTAGGGGTCGCATTTTCAAGGCTGTAGTTTTTACAGTTTGTACTCTCGAACATCACAGTCACACACCCCCCTTCAGCCCTGGAGACTTGCGTATGACAGATCTACTTAATGCACGCTCAACCAGCAATTGACCTCATTCTTATGAGGGTGCTACCACAAGTTAATTCCCTGTCGCCTCCATTCAGATATTCTAGTCTTCAGTTTTAGCCAAGATCTGTGCAGGAAAGTTTTTTTATTTTCTATCCACCTTTGTTTCCCACTCACACTGATGAGCTGTTAACTAAATGTCTTATATTTAATAAAAACCCATGTCTATGAGGATGAGTGTTCAGTGGATCATCGTCTGTTTAAGGGGGTAATGCAGATATATGCACACTGTATTTACAGTGGATGAAAATGTCTAGCTTTGGGTTTTCACCTGTTGATTAGACAAATGTAAGAATAGTGAAGGGGTCACCTTATTCTGTGTTTCAACTATTGAAGCATTATAATTTTTGCCTGACTACAGGGGTGGTGGTTGTATATTCTATCACTCGACCCTGGCTTCTTGGCAACCTGTCACAAAACGTATGTAATAATCAGTATATATTGTATATATATATTGTTTTAGTAAACAAATAATTCTACTGTTTAAATTAATGAAAGTAAAATTTTATGTGAAAGGCTTGTTCACGTTTGACTGACTGACTGGTAGGAACTTGTCATGTTTTGAAAAGTGGCATTTTTCCTTTCCTAACCAATTCCTTTGTTATCATTCAATTAAAAAAGAGGTGGATACAAATCTACAGCGTATATTGAGAACAACTTCAAACCTTGAGCATGAAAGTTCATTTTTGACATTGTAAATATTGTTTGTCAAAATACTTTTTGAATCAAAATCATTTTCTTGAGATTCCAATGAGAGCTAAGGGTTTTGATCTGGGGATGAAAGGTATGCAGTTGTCATGGATATGGCTCAGTTGTCATCCTTTGACCTGAGTGTTGAACTTTTTAACAGGTGATTTTATGTTGGGGAGATTGTAACCCCTGTCATATTCAAGGTCTTTGGTGTAGATGGAGGCCATAGGTTACCAAAAGAATCCTTGAGCCCATATATGAGCCCCTTTTATTTCTTTTTGAGAGGATATTGTTGACAATTGACAGAGAGACAGAAAACCAGGGCAGATATAGCTGAATGTGACTTGCAGCAAATTATCCCCCTGTCCAGAAATCAGACTTTGACATTATGTGGTAACCATAAGGTCTTTGGATACACCCCATTATCTCTTTACTGTGATGAGAGTTATCACCATGGCAACTGAGAGAAAGTCATCTGTTGATGATCACTGTGAGATGTAGCCAAAAACCTTGGAATAAATCTAGCAAGAGGAACCTTGATTTTACTTTTTTTGTCGAACTTGTCACCTATTAAAAACCTAACAAACCTGCTCTGAGATACTGCAAGTACCACATCATCTGTATATCTAGTTGAGATGAAAGCTTTTACTGTGAAAAGGAAGCGTTTTGTTTGGTCTGAAAACATACTGGGATTGATTTTCGTGCTGTTGACTTACTCTTAGCAGCACATGTTTTGTCAACAAGGGCGAAGCAAAGCATCATTATCTGAGTTGAAGTGCACATTTTCACTCAGGTTGACAGATTTGTTATATCTTCTGCCTCCTTTTAATAAACGAACCAAAAAGCAGCCAAGTACACGGAGGCAATGTTGTCTTGAATTTCTGACTTTTATTTTGTTTGGCTGTTAGAAGTACACAACCAAAGAACACCTTGTTAGTTCTTCTCAGTAACAGATACATACATGTTGTCATGTTGTGCCTGTGATATCACAGTTTATTCCTCATGCTTCTCTCGCTCTCATTATATTGTCTGTGGA